TTGTGATGGGGATCTCCTCAACAACTACCTCCTGAGTCCTCTTGATGTGATGCTAACTGTCTCTGATAGCATTCTTGCTATCTAACATGATAAGATGTAAATTTCTGCCTCAGACTTAGAATCATCCAGGTCATGAAGGAACCCTGGTTATTTTAATGGGAAGTGGTATTATTTTCATATGCAATCTGAGCATATAGGTACTCATTAAACATTTGTGGGTTTTTTTTTTCTAATTTCTAGGCCATTTTGGTGGGCGGATATAGGAAATAAATGATGTGTGTCTGTGTATGAGTGTGCGTGTTTGTGTGTGTGTATGAGAGACATGAAATACTTTTTTAGTTCAAACCGATAACTGATACTTTCAATTCAAATTCAGACCTACAAGGTTTTTAACCTTTATCTGTATTTCCTTTCTTTCACTCCAAAACTCTCCTTTCTCAAAAAAAAAAAAAAAAACAGGAAATTCTGGTATATATTTTTTTAAACAACAACAACAAAGGCACTCTATAGCCCTTGGTATTTTGAGAGAAATAAAATATTCAGGTAAAGCAGGAAAGGTGATTTTGATGTCCACTAACCATTGCCACTGATTAAAGGGGAAGATAAGATATTTTCTATTCAGGGAAAAACTAATGGGTCAAAACTGAAATATACTTTGTACTTAGATTAAAGATACCATTATAAATGAAGGCTGCTCTGTGGGAAAGAAAAAAGTGAATACATTGTTGTTAAGATATTACAAAAGCTTTTCCAGGTTACACGAGAGTTTCATAGGAATCTTAATAGAGGGAAAGAAACACTTGAGATTGCTATTTTACGAACATGCATAACTGAGATCTAGATGCGGAAGAAGACAACTTCAGGGCCCATTTGCCCCAATTGGTCCAAGTTAGTGGAAATCTGCCAAGGGCAAGGTAAATGGGATCCTAGCAGAGCAAGTCAGTTTGTTCCCCTGAGAATGCCCTATAGATAGTGAGTCCCAGACATCACCAGGTCAGCAGACACAGCTAGACTGATGATCTATTCTAAGGCTCATCAGAGTTCTGAGAAGAACCACATAATGAGGACAAACTCAGCCTTGTTTCTGAGCACATTTTCATGTCTTTTCAGAACCATACAAGTAATTGCCATACAAGTAAAAATGTGATTGTGGATCTTCAAGGAAATTCTGTGACCACACAAGGGAGAGAAACATGACCAGGGAAATGAGAGAGCTCTATGGAGGAGGAACATAATTTGAGCAGAATTCATTCATTCATTCATTCATTCATTCATTCATTTACTCTTTATTTAATACCCACCCACTCTGTACCTTGACATTGTCTCATAATAGTCTCAAGTAAATCTGATTTCAAATCCTGGATTAAACACTTACTATGTGGCCTGTGGCAACTCACTAACCTCTGTGCCTCAACTTTTCCATGTGCAAAATGCAGATTCTAATCGCTGCCTCAATGAGCTTCTGAAGTTAAATAAGGGAAAGTTCATATAAATGCATAACACAGTGCCTGGCAGAGGTGCAGAGCTATGAAAGCTCAGCTTCCCTGCCTGCAGAATTCCACTTTTTTCTGTAGATAAGGAGAGAGGGAGGGAGAGGGAAGGTGGGGAGGGCAGAGGACTTGAGAGGTGAGAATATGAGAGGGTTATTGCAGGGAAGGGGAGAATAACTAGAGAGATTCAAGTAAAATATTCACTCAGAGGCAGAGAGGTCTGCCTGGCACAGTCCCCTCCTGCCCTGAAGCCACAGGTTGGCTTGGTTGGTTGCTTTATATTTAGGTATTTGAACAGAGACATCAGAGGTGGAGGATAATGGAAGAGACTAGAAAAGTGAATTAGAGAATGTTAATTATAGAATGTTTTTCCACTCATGTGAACAGAAATGAGGCTAAGGCAGGTAAAGAGAGTCTGCTGAAATATGAGATTCACCACTGAGAAAAGCAATGATAGTTTTCCTCCAATGAGAAGAGCTATCAAATGTAAGAACAATTTCTCTGGGAGAAAAACCACCTCCACTCTTTCTCACATCCCTCCCCTTATGATTTGGCTTTGCAAGCATCCCCATGAATTGGCTTATAAATTTGGTTAATACTCCCTTAGCCCAGCCTCCCTTTATTACACCACTTTACTGCTTCTTTGGGGCTGAGACTCTAAAATTTGGGTCAAATGTTCCATTAAGTTAACCACTTTAGAATACCAATAACATGCCTGCAGCACTTTTCATCTTTGTGGTGGTTCACAAACATCTCCTTCTTCACTAATGAAGATGAGCTGAATATCTATAGCATCTAAAACCAAAGCTATTTAATCATTGTCTGATGTGGGGAAGTGAGACGAAATGCAAGACCAACAAAAAAGTATATTACATTTTAAAGTTGCTGATTCAAACTTTTAAAAAATTCTCTGAACATGCAGGCAGAACTCATATCACAAAATCCCAGTTTTTGTAATGAAAATAACCATAAGAAGAATAGTAACATCTTAGGGTATTTGGGGCTATTCCTATCTTGCAGAGTGCTTTTTGATACATGAGCCTGTATGATCTTCATAAAAACCCATGAGAAAAAAAAAGAAATTATTGTCCATATGTTTTAGACAAGCCTTGTTTGCAATTAATTAACCTGCTCAAATTTCAAGTTAATATTTATGCTGGGACTTAGAACCCCAGACCTCAAGTTCCAAGTCAGAAGTTCTTGCTTGGAGATTTTCTACCTCTGTTATGCAATAAATGGATATTCCACTAAGATGTCTCAAAGGAAGGACATCCGAGTCAGGCAAGATGCATATTTTCCTTCCTTTTTCAACTAGAACAGTTCCACAAGTATATTACATTTGGGGCTTCCCTATGGATTTCCACAGTTCAAGTTCATTGCACAAAGCACGCACCATCTCTCATATTGCTCATGACCCAGCTGGGCTGTGAGCTACATTCCAAAATTAGACTCAATAGGCCTACAGAGCTCCATTTATGGCAGAGGCAATAACATACTATAACTCTTCCTTGCCTACCCCTCAACTCTCCATCTTTAGTTCTAACTAGTTCTTCTGGGCCAGTGGAGATACCTGGTGGCCTTTGTATGGATCGAATTTCTTTTTCAACTCCTTTTCATCAAGCCATACTTAGCCTGTTTCCTCTATTATGTCTGGCCATTTTCACCTCTGTGGGTCTCTTTGATGCATCAGGATACACATACACAAGTCTGTGTCTTGTAGACTATCTTGTCACCATGATGCCTGATACCTAAGGCATGGTGTGCACCCTTGATTGTCAAAGTCAAGCATCCATTCTTCAGTTCATTATTCTTTCCTCTCTTCCATCAAACTCTGTTCCTTTCCTCCATGAGAGGTTCTTTGTTCATTTTCCTCTATCTTCTTTCTTCTCACTTCCATTCTTCATTTCCCTCTTTTTAATCTTTCTATGAACATAAAACAATCAAAACATGGTTGACAAGGATAATGCCAGTTACCTGATAGCTAAAACAAAAAATTGAATCCATTACTTCTGAAGGGAAATTCAGCAAGATAAATATCTAGTACCAAGTGACTACATGTTTTTTAAGTACCTTTAGGTCCAGAATTGTCACAAGTCTTCAGATGCTTCCTCCGGTATGGCTTGCTATTTTCAAGCCCACCTTAAAGATTCTGTTCTTTTTCATCCTTCAAAACTCAGTTCAAGGGCTTAGGATATTGCATAGTGGTAGAGAGCTTGCCTAGCATGTTTGAGGCCCTAGATTCAATCTCTAGTACAGAAAAACTCAGCTCAGAGACCCCTTTCCACAAATTCTTGACTGATCTCTCCAGGCAGGCTCCATCACCCCTCTGAAGCCTCCCACCCATCTTTGTCATAGTGTCCTTACCTGGAGGCGCCTTGGGGTTGCATATTCCAGGGGCTGGGGGCTCAGTCACAATCAGAATCCACCACTGCTGCCTCTGCTTGCCCTGGCCCTCTGAAGCCTCCACCTAAGTGTCTATTGCCATTGTTTATAAATCTGTTTCTCGCACTAAGAGCTAGTTCTTGTCTGTTTTGTTCTGTCTCCTTTCTAGCCAGCATACATACTTTTCTGTGGTTGTTGAATGTTGATTTAGTTCATAGAATGGTTACCCTGGATTCAAGAAAAAATAAGTTCATTCGTATTTAATTTTTATTCTATTTTTAGAATAGAACTGTTTTCTACTCCTCTTTGCTGAAATTTGAAGGATTTTTTTTAAGCAGTCTTAGGAGATTTTGCTGACAAACTTAAAATTTTCAAATCAATTTGCAAATTGTTTCTATGCAAAAATATAGTTCTTATGATAAAACATTCAACAAGCCTAAAAGAAAAAAATGAAGTTTGGGCCATAACTAAGCAGTCTATCGCTTTTCCTAATATTCTACGCAAACTATGCTGGGGGGCGAGGTGGATCTCTGAATTTTGCTTCTCATTTAAAAGCCACCTATTCCTCCTGCTTTTCCTGATGTCTGCCCTCTGTTCTGCCCCCAAAGCTTTTTCTCATTTCAAGAATTTATCTCATTCCCTCCATTCTCCCATGGTTTATGGCTGATAGTTTGGTTCTTTGTTGTGTACCTTGTAGTCTACCTTGAATCCATTATTTATGTATTTTTCCCTGTTGACTCTAGTTCTCAGAGGATGAGCACTATGCACGTTGATTTGTTGGCTTTTTACAATGGGATTTTAAAGCACAGCATTGAGCTATGGGGGATATTGCCATTCCATGTAGAAACTTCTCCTAGTTTCCCATGATTTGCCATCTGAGCTGAAAGTAGACAATGTCCAAATTTCAGGCTTCACAGCCTCTTTTCTCTCATTTTTCTATCTTCTTTTCTCCAGAGATAAAGAGAAATGAGATAATCATGCCAATAAAGCATCCTTTTTAATCTTTACTGTTCTTGTCTGGGTTCTTCATTGTGAGATGTCAATTATTCAACACTCTGAAGAGCTGTCTTTTGAGCACATAGTGTTTTTGTTGTCTGGTATTTTAAATGCTTGTTTTCTGCTTTATAGGATCCAGGGGTGGCTGTGTTGTCATGCGAGGCAGTAGTCCACTTGGTCGTTGGGAAGTGAAGGACTGTAGACGGTTCAAGGCCATGTCCTTGTGCAAGCAGCCAATCGAAAATCGGGACAAAACTGAGCATGAAGAAAGATGGCCCTTTCACCCCTGCTACTTGGACTGGGAGTCGGAGCCTGGCCTGACCAGTTGCTTCAAGGTGATACCAAGGTTACTTGAGCATTCACAGTATCATTATTTCAATTTGTTCCATGAATCACAAATTCCTTTATTCCAACACCTAGTTTTCCCCCGAACAGTGCCTGGCACACAGTGGGTACTTAATCAATATTTGTTGCCTGTCTCTATCCTTTCATTTATATTCAAATAATTTTTAAGTAAAAATTGGCATATTCCTGGTGACATCAAAGGCCTCCTCATGAAGATTATCTGTTAATTGGAAATACCATGCACCAGTATTGACCCCAGGGAGGGGAACTCCATGCACTGGTTATCATTTCTGGGGGAGGACTCTAAACACCTGATAAATTGCTAGTAAGTTTCTTTTCTCTGGCAGGAGATTTTGCACAAACTCAGCTGCCAGAGTCTGAGTCCAGTGAGACAGAACACTCAACAAATCAGGCAAAGCAACCTAATTATTCACAGATGGGCTGCAAGAAACAGCAGAAACCTAGGATCCCTAGCAAGCCCATCTCCCAAACCACAGGAAACTGCTCAGGGCAGATGGACTCTCGTCTGCACATGCCCTACTTTGCACCACAGCTTGGAGATTCAGAGAGGCACTTCTCTGTGGGCTTAGACCTCAGACACCACTTGGGTTATTGGGCTAAAGCATTACAAGACATCCTGTTCTAGGAGGAATAAGGACAGTTTCTCCTTCCCCCAGGATGTTGCATTCTGCCCCCAAATTGCTATCAAGAAGTGGAAGAGCTGGGTTAGCCAAGGTCATTTAGGATCCTATATAATACTGAAACCCTTGTCAATATTGTTCTTATTGCCAGGCACATACCAGATAAAAGAGGCCAGTTCTCACTGGGTATTAAAATAGTACAATTCCATATTTGTAAAAATGTGAAAAAAGTGCTTATTATGGAATAATACAATTTTGCCACTAAGAATAGCTTTTGCAGCTTGCCAGATACCAAAGATAAAACAAATTAATACATTCAGTTAATATATAAATGCGTTTGTGTATAGATTGCATGCATGCATATGTGCGTTTGTGTATGTGTGTGTTTGAAGAAAAAGACTGTGTGTGTATGTGTGTGTGTGTGTTTCTTACTGGAAATGCTTGGGACCAAAAGTGGTTTGAATTTTGGATTTGGGGGATATTTGCATATTCATAATGAGATATCTTAGATATGATATTTGCACATACATAATGAGATGAGACTTGAATGTGAACACAGAATTCATTCATATTTCATATACAACTTATATACATAGCCCAAAAGTAATTTTATACAGTATTTTTAGTAATCTTGTGCATGAAATAAAGTTTGTGGGCATTGAACTGTCAGAAAGCAAAGGTGTTACTATCACAAAAAGTTTTGATTTTAGAGCATTTTAAGTTAAGGATGCTCAAATATATTTATATTTTTTATGTATTTACATAAAATATATATTTATATATGTCTGTGCAAATCAGCTTTAGATCCTAGCTTTAAATCAGTTCCTACAGTTTTCTTGTCAAAAATATATTTTGAAACATGATATTTGGTAGTTTTGTCTTGGTTTGTTCTATAAATAGAAATTCCCCAAGTCCTGGAAGAAAGTTCTTCTCCAGTAGCTGGGCACATGCAGAGCATGATGAAGACAAACTCTAACTCCACAGATATTATAGCTCATCAGTTACGTGGAACACTTATGAATGCACTCTGTTTAAATATACACATATAAAATCAGAGAATAATAGGCCCATAAGGGACCTCACAGAACAATAAGTTAAACCTTAGAAATGAGTAAACTGAGGCTAGTGAGATGAAGATCACAATGTGCACAAGATCACAATTATTTATTGACAAAGTTGGAATAAATCCCTGGTCTTGAGACTCTGGTCCAGCACTTTCTCTACTATATATCATCCCAATGTGTCAACAAATGCATGGTATGTTTGATGTGCATGGTGGTAGGATTTATGAATTTAGAGTGATTCGGGAAGATGTTCCCAGAGGAGGCAAGTTTTGACATATAATTTAAAAGATGGAAAGGCTGTGCTGTGGTCCACAGGACTTGGAAAGCTATTCATTCTGGTCTCAGCAAATCAGAGCCTGGTGAAGGTTGACTGCAGGGTATATCTGCCTGGCAAAAGCGGTTCAGGCTTAGTACTGGGTCTTTAAAATTAAGAGGATGCAGAGGCCCAGAATCAGGAGCTCTGGGTCTTCAGTTCCTCACCCTGATCTTAAATAAAACCAAAAGCAGACCCTCCCTACAATGAGTTTCTTCCTGCTACCCTGAAGGTAGCAGAGAAATAGCAGATATTTTAGACATAACCAAATCACTGCAACTGCCAGTTCAGCTAAGACCCAAAGACCCTATAAATATACCTGGCCAGATTCATGATCATATTGTTAATCAGCTTTTCGTTGCTGTGAAAAAAATACCTGAGATAAACCACTTTAAAAGAGGAAGAATTTATTTTGGCTCATTATTTCAGAGGTTTCAGTCCATGGTCACTTGGCCCCCTTGATTCTAGGCCTGTTGTAAGCCAGAACATCCTGTGAGGGAGGTCATAGTGGAGCAAAGCTGCCAGGAAGCAGAGAAAAAGAGTGGGGGTTGGGAGGAACGGGAGAGACAAAGCACCCAGGAACAAAATATACCCTTTAAAGGCACATTCAGAGTGGCCCACCTGTTCCAGTTAGACCCTGTCTCCTAAAGTTTTTGGGGCCTCCCAACAGCATCCCCAGCTGGAAACCAAGCCTTCAACACATTTGGGGAACATCCCATAACATTCAGCTAATTCTGTTAGACAGCAGTCTACTGAGAAGGAAATTCATGGATTCAGGAAGCAAGGAGTCATGGGTCTAATCCTAGCTCTGCCAGTTTGTGGCTGTGTGGCTGGAAATTCTTAACCTTGCTTAGCCCAACCTACCTAATCTTTTGCCAAACAGTCATATAGGCAAGTCATAGGAGATTAAGTTTTAGTATTTTGGTTTGTTTGTTTTAATAAAAAGCTTCAGTTAGGGGCTGGGGCTGTAGCTCAGTGGTAGAGCACTTTCCTAGCATGTGTGAGGCACTGGGATCAATTCTCAACACCACAAATAAATAAATAAAATAAAGGTCCATCAACAAAACACACACACACACACACACACACACACACATAAAGCTTTAATTAGCTCATTTATAAAACTGAGTTTAATTCATATTCTCCGCATGAATTGGTTGTAAGGATAAAATGAGCCAATAGTTTTACAATGACTAGGCACATTCTAGTTCAATAAATGATACTTCCATTAGGTCAAGCTTTCAATAAATAATAATGAAAAGGTTTGCTTAGCATGGGAGAAGACCTCAGTTCCATCCCAGTATGATAAAAAAGAAGGAAAAGAATAATAAAAAACATATTACTATTATTTTCTTAAACAGAAGTGAACTACCACACCCAATCCACCACTGTGTTAATATTTTTCTTTTATTATGCAGGTATTTCATATTGAAAAAGTTCTGATGAAAAGAACATGGAGAGAAGCTGAGGCATTTTGTGAAGAATTTGGAGCTCATCTTGCAAGCTTTGCCCATATTGAGGAAGAAAATTTTGTGAATGAACTTTTACATTCAAAATTTAATCGGTAAATATTTTTTAATTTTGAAAAATTATAGACCATCTCCTAGCAAGGGCTTCTCATGGGTGAGTATCACAAATAATTGTTTAAAATCCAGTATTTTGTCTCAAACCTAAAACTAACTAGTCACTAATTGTGGGGGATAAAAAAAATCTACATTCACATTATATTGTATCAAGCTCACATTTCATAAAACAAAGAAAATAGTCATGATAGTTTTGATATTTTAAATCTTTTCTGTGTACCTCAAGTCAGATTTTTAGAGTTTTTCTGCCAAACAATATCCAGGTCAGTGATTTTCAAAGTGTTGTCTGAGTATCCCAAAGGTCCTGGATGCCAAAAACAGAGGGGGGCCAAATGGACAGAGCTCCAGGTCCTTGCTCACCGACTCACTAGAGTAGCTCCAACCATTGCCATTGCTAATTATTTTCTATATAAAAGGAGTTCCACTCAAGATTTTGTTTGGGGGGGAAAAAAATCCTAGTAAAATCCTAATATTTATTTATTTATTTATTTAGATGGTTTTTTTTTTTAGTTGTAGATAGACACGATACCTTTATTTAAGTTATTTATTTTTATGTGGTGCTAAGGATCAAACCCCGTGCTTCACACATGCGAGGTGAGTACTCTACCACTGAGACACAACCCCAGCCCCAAAATCCTAATATTTTTTTAAAAAGTCCAATCCAACCCTGTAATTTTAAATTTGAGGAAAGAGGCTTTCACTTATTTGTGTCTATTTGTAAGTTTATATAATCTTGAATTCCATGGAGTTAGAAATTCAATTCTTTGAATTGGAAAAAAAAATCTAATGGTCTTGGGTTAACACCAAACTATTTTTTGAGAAAAATCCTATCCTTCCCCATAAGTTTCCTTGCAAGACACTCCCATGAAGAAGTTAATATATAACATCTATTGAATTGTTCATCTTTAGTGTTTACAAAAATAAACTTAAAGTGGACGTTTCTTTTTGTGTTTTTGATGGGAAAGAAGTACAGGACAAAGACAATTTCCATTTTATTATTATTTGTGGTTCTGGCGATTGAACCCAGGGACTTGGGCATGCTGGTAAGCACTGAACCACATTCTTGGTCCTAAAGCTGAGAGTTTTGACAACCTCCCCCACTTAGTTTCATATAGTATTCCATGGGGAAAAGATATTTTGTGGCTAAATATGATTGCAAAACAATGTGCAAACTTGGAAATTTGCTATGTATATTATTATTTAAGACTTTTAGAAGGAAGCACTTTCTTTGTTAATTTTTTTTTTTTTAGTGTGGTACCCAGGATTGAATCCAGACCTCATACACATACCACTGAACTGCATACATCTCCAACCCTTTTTACTTTCTTATTTCCAGAAGGGTTCCCACTAAATTGCCCAGACTGACATTGAACTTGCAATCCTCCACCTAAGCCTCACCAATAGATGGAATTACATGTGGTGCCACTGTGCCCACCTATAATCCTTTTTTTTGAGAACATCCCACCGAAACTGCTAGTCCCTACAGGAAATGCTAACTTGAGACGGTGGTTCCAGAGCCTGGCCAATCACCACTCTGGTCCCATATCACAGCTGCCAACTCAGACTTAATGAGGCTAATATTTAAGAAACTTGTGGCTAACTGTATTTTTTTTTTCTAGAGATTGAACCCAGGGGTGCTTAATGACTGAGCCACATCCCCAGCCTTTTTGGTTTTTTTATTTTGAGACAGGGTCTTTATAAGCTGCTTAGGGCCTTGCTAAATTGCTGAGGCTGGCTTTGAATTTGTGATCCTCCTGCCCAGCCTCCCAGCTGCTGGGATCACAGGCATGCGCCACTGTGCCCCGCTGGGTAAACTGGATTATTAAACCAGGTATGGGGTCACAGATACAAGGGAGGGGTGGTAAATTATGCCATGGTTTGTTGCTTTAGTTCCTTACAAAACATATTTGCATATTCTGCCTTTGATTTTGGCAAGGTTTACTAAATAAAACAATCACATGCAAAAGACCTCCTAGCTTAAGATTAAATATCATTATGTCATTTCTATTTACATAAATTCTCACACTTATAATTTCTAGTAGAATTTCATGCCAAGCATCTATCAAATCATTGATCTTCAGCATCTAATCACAAAAACTATATAATATATGTTTTATTTATTTTTTGCCCAGACTATCAAAGGGAATTCAGTCAAATCATGTGCATGGTGTTTATTTTCAAATTATACAATGTGAGGGAATTTATGGAGAGAAAATAAGTATCAACTTGTCTTCTATGAGCAAGTATATAGCAAGAAAAATGAAGAACTCTGAATTCAGTGAAGAAAGAAAACAAAAATTCTCAGCCTGGGGAGAGAGGTGTGGGTTTCCAGCCTATTTTGGTGATTAATAGACTTGACTTAACCTTAGGGCAGTCATTCTCACCTTCTCACTACCTTGACTGCATCGTGTCACCTGGACACTGACTGGACAGGCACAGCTCAGACTCTCTAAGTTGCATTGGACTTTAATTTGTATTATTCAGGCAGAGTAGTTCACGTATTTGAGAAGCAATGCTTCAGAGTAGGCTTGCTTCTCTGCACTAAGGAAAATAAAGCATCTGCCATGACTTCTGAATCTTTTAAATCTTTAATTCTTCAAAATTATTCTCAGAAAATTATCTTAGTGAGATGGTTCATTGTACAATTAGGCTTTATTGCTTGATTTATTGAGTACTCTGAGATTTGACATATTTGTACTCTGCCTAATAGGAGGGAAGATTATTCTCTGAGGAGCTTCTTGCCAAATCTAAACCAGTGGTGACTGCTGAAGTTAATCTACCATGGCCCAGGCTGATTTGCTGCAGAATTATTTATGTTGTAATCTGAAAAAAAAAAAAACCTACTGTGTACCTTTTATCAAGTGGAAATGATATGATTTACTTTCAAGAGAATACATGAAAATTTAACAAAAGAGCAACAAAATCAAACCACAGAATAGAAGTATAAATAGTAATGTTGTATATGGAGCAAAGTAGTAAAAAGTCCTCTAGGAAAAATATTTTCCAAAATTTCTTCCCAACCTGCTTTCATGTGTTATCCTGAGGCATCACCATTTCTGATAAGAACCCCATGTCCTCAATATGCATTAACTTTTCTCCATCTGCACATCATCAGTGAACAAGCCACACAAACCAAGAGAAATAGGACATGACTCTAAATCTTATCCCAGCTCATTTTGTAGCACAGGGTTTGCCATTAAAAATATTCAATCAGTTTGTGTTGATTGGTTCAATCCTGCCAGTAGCATCAGCTGTTTCCTGCACATATAAATATTTTAAAAGACTTTTTGAACCTTTTACATAATGTAAATTTGATCAGAAAGGCAAAGTTTTTGTTTCTTCTCTTCTTAGGACAGAAGAAAGGCAGTTCTGGATTGGATTTAATAAAAGAAACCCACTAAGTGCTGGTTCATGGGAGTGGTCTGATGGAACTCCAGTAAGTCTTCCCAAACTGGACAAAAGGAGATGAATTCAAAACAGTGGCCCTGGAACCACTTGGTAAACTTGGTCGGTTTTCTAAATGATTCCAAGAAATAATGACCTTTGTCTCCTATGACACACGGCACTGGACTATGGTACCAAAAGAATTATTTTTTTAAGGTCCTGGAAAACCTTCACTAACCAGATTGTTCTAAGGTTGCCTATAGTGTCTCATTCTGAAATCAAAATTCCCCCCCCAAAGTCCTCTGAAACCATTTCCTATGTGAAGAGTCATTTGGTAGAAAACCAACAATTCTGTAAAATAATGCCAGGTTTCTTTTACCCTACCCCTCCTAGCCTGCACAGGGCCTGTGTCAGTATGGGACCCTTGTTAATGTCACAATGAAAAGGAGACTATTTTGGAGAACTGTTTTTAGTTTATCTCACAGTTATGGTTTTGATATGAGGTGTCCCCCAAATGCTCCTGTGTTAATGCAGTAATATTCAGAGGTGATATGATTAAATTATGAGAGCTGTAACCTAACCAGACCATCCTTCTTTGAGTGAACTGATTGGGTAATTGAGGTAGGCAGGGTAAGGCTAGAGGAGGTGAGTCACTAGGGGTCTACTCTGGAAAGGGTGTGTCTTTTCTGTGGCCCTTTCCCCTCCTCCCCTTTCTTGGCTTCCTGGTTGCTATATCCTGACTGAGCAGCTATCCTCTACCATGCTCTTCTGCCTCACCTTGGGCTCAGAGCACTGGATTCAGCCCACTGTGGTCTAAATCTCTGAAACCAAGAGCCAAAATAAATTTTCCCTTCTCTAAGTTGTTCTTGTTGGATTCTTTGGTCACAGCAACAAAAAGCTGACTGACACACTACTCTAAAAGGACAGAAATGTCAGCCTTAGAAATATCACCTCTATCTCAGGTAGAACAAATTGTTCCAGAAGTGGGTGGGGGGAAGTATAGCTGTTCATTCAGCCTCATTATTTGCAAACCTATGTGAAGGAGAGAGAAAGAACTCACCACTGAGTTCTCTTTTCAGGTACAATGAGGAATTCTCACATTTTCCCTAAGGCAATGGAAATACTGAAGCATATAATATCCAAGACCAAAATGGATCCATCCTAGGGCATGTGCAAAATCAAGTTATTCAGTTTCAACTGAGAAACAGGGAGACTAGTAAGAGCCTGCAGTGAATTTTTAATGCTTCTGCTGTTTGTTGAGCCTTCACAGTGTTCCATGAACTGAGCTGAATGCACTCCTGCATGATCTCATTTCATCCCCACAATGGCTCACAGCAGTGGGCAATAAATGATGAGTGGGTGGCCCAGAATAATGCAGAAGAGAGTCAGGATTTGCATATAGGTGGTCTGACTCCAGAGCCACAATATTATGATATTTCCTAGTTGGCAAAATATCAGCTGCCAAGCTTTGAAATAGTAAAGACCAATAGAGAAAAGTCCACTACATAGATGAAACTCAAATTTGTAGCCAGGAAGGGATTTATTAAAAAAAAAAAAATCTGTGCTTCTAATGGTAACAAAAATAATGATAAAGGCTTGCTAGTTAAAAAACAAAAATAATATTTCTGCTCCAATATTGCTTCTTTGGAAAAGATATCAGGAGCAAGAGTGGGAAGACAGCTTAGAGATCACTCAGCTGCATCTATTTTGTTAATGAAGAAACTGAGGCCAAGAAACAATGGAGCATTAAAGTCAATACAGCACTTAAAAAAAACAAACATGCACCGGGTGTGGTGGTGCACACCTGTAATCCTAGCAGCTCTGGAGGCTGAGGCAGGAGAATTGCAAGTTCAAAGCCAGCCCCAGCAAAAGCTAAGCATTTCAGTGAGATCCTGTCTCTAAATGAAATACCAGTGGGGCTGGGGATATGTGTGGTTCAGTGGTCAAGTGAAGTTCAATCCCTGGTACCCCAAAAAATAAAAATAAAAACAAACATGCTACATAGAGGTTGAGAATACTTCATTTTGTTTTACTAAAACACATTCATTAGTAATAAGAGGAGAAAAGACTATGGTTCAGAAAACAATGACAAAAAGGCCATGAAACTATAGACTGAGGTCCTATGACCACTTCCTGCTGGCAGAATGAATTCACAACATTCTCTGAACCTGTGGATAAATATATTTATGTCAGATAAATTGTTGCATGACTGTATATATTTGAGGAGGACTACAAATGGTTTCACACATCCTTTTTTTCCAATTTTTTATCACAATTTTACTTGTGATCCATCCACTCTTCTGTCAGATAAGCATTAAATAGTTGAGAAGGCTAAATCTTTATGAATTATGGAGCTATATGACCTATGTGGTCACTCATGGAAATTTTTGGTAGTTTCCTGACTGAAAAGCTAGCTGTGGATTAGAATTTAGTTATGAGAAACTAAAAGCTTAGCATATACACAAAGGAACCAACATCAAAGGTGATGCCCAGATCTGGCTCATTCTTGTGCCTCTAAGAAGTTTACCCAGGATCCCAGGGTGAGACTAATCCTGCCAGTTAGAAAATAGTGCTAGCTCTGAACAAAGCTTGCACCAGATTTCTTCCTTCTGGAGAAAGGAGTCGCATGCCCCCTTTTTAAGAAAAAGCATCTTTAAGAAAAAACATGCTAAACACTAATTAGCTTGTTCTTCACAAATGTGGAACAACCTTTAACTAGAACGACACGCAAACATTTCTGAAGCTTCCTCTAGAAATCTATAATGATTATGTGCACGGAATTCTTCTTTGATCTTCTGAAACTTCAATCATTAAGGAATAACAAACTTCATCTGCTGCAGGTTGTCTCTTCATTTTTAGACAGTATTTATTTTGAAGAAGATGCAAGAAATTGTGCTGTGTATAAAGCAAATAAAACATTGCTGCCCTCACACTGTGGTTCCCGCCGTGAATGGATATGCAAAATCCCAAGAGGTAAAAATATTAATAAGGTTTTTACTTTATGCTTGAACTAATAATGTGTATAACATTTCCCCTAGTGAAGAGATCTAGAGATTCAAAATCAAAGCACCCTGAACCACAATGCCAACAGCCCACATGACGGAGCAAGTTGCACTATTTTAGTAAAGCATATATCACAGGGAACTGATGAAAGATAACCACCAGTGCTGTATGCCATTAGTCCACTGGGAATTAGGGCAAACAGCCAATATTACAGAATATTTATTATTGCAAGTACAGTTGGAAAGAAACGTCACTTTGACATTACAAGCAAATAGGATTACTTGGGGCTGGGATATAGCCCAGTTGGTAGAGTGCTTGCCTTGTATGCACAACGCCCTGGGTTCAATCCCCAGAACCATAAAAAAAAAAAAAATAGGATTACTTGGACCATGAGTAAGTAGAAGCCCGTAGCACAGCATGTAACATGCAGTAGATTCGTGCCCTTTCTTCTTTAATCAGAAATCTCTCTGGGGAAAAAAAGAAAAGAAAGAAAATTCTCTGGAGCCTCCTTTTTAAGATGCAACTTGAACTGACCATATTCCAAACAACACAAAGTACCTGTTTTTTACATGATTTTTTTTTAAGGTGAAGTGAATTATAGTATGTATAGACTGAAGTGAGTCAGAGACACCTGTGAAGAAAGGTCAGTCAAGGTGGTTTGCTTTCACTTTGCAGATGTGAGACCCAAGATTCCACCCTGGTACCAATATGGTAAGAACTACCTTGGCATTTCTCAAATCTCTAATTATAAACTATCCAGGTGCTATTATATACCTTTATTATATTATCACCTTCCTCCAATTGAGCCTCTCTTTTCTCATGTAAATCTAGAGCTAATTTGTTCAAATTAATAAGTCAATAATTAATTGATTAATTAATAATTGAAATCATTAAATATGATTGAAGACTAATATCATAACTTAATTCCATTTTCATGACACATGATTTTAAAATATCATCCACCCCTGACCTTCAAATACTAGTATAAGTTTCTTATATGATGTAGAACAAAAAAAAAGTAAATTATGTATTTATTTATATGTGTGCATGTCTGTGATTGTGTTTGTGTGTTTGCATATGCCCTGACCAGATTACAAATTTGAGGTCAATCATGTGTATTATAACCCTCAACAGATTTGGCACCATTTGCAGGTTTATTTTTCTTTCAGATGCGCCCTGGCTCTTTTATCAGGATGCAGAGTACCTTTTTCACACCTATGCCTCCGAGTGGTCCTCCTTTGAGTTTGTCTGTGGCTGGCTGCGCAGTGATCTTCTCACAATTCATTCTGCACATGAGCAAGAATTCATCCACAGCAAAATAAGAGCGGTACTTGAATATAATTCACCTTGAGAATTTCTCATTAGGACCTTCTTCTGTCCTTGTACAGGATTTTTCTTTTTTAATTTGACTTCAGACATTCATTTAAATTTCAGTAAAAGCCATGGATTTTTGAGAATTGTTTTTCTTCCAGTTATAGAGATTAAGATAAAATACTAGAGAGATTTACTATGTTGCTTAATCATTTCACATCTCATCATTTTTATTAGCAACGTTAGTGAATAAGTAAAGTTTATTGTTTTGTAAGTGCACTGATTATTTAACACATATTTATTGAGAGCTCTCTAGGAACTAAGATTCCATCAGTGATTAAAACTGACCAAAATTCCTTCCTTTATGGAGTTTATAATCTAGTCTGGGATGAAAGATCATAATCAATACAAGTAAACAGAATTACATAATACATTAGAAAAGCATAAGTGGATAAATATAATGAAGGAAAATATAGCTCAAATGAAGGATGAGGAATGCCTGATTGGGTGGAGGGATGACAGTTCTGATGTTTCAAATCTTACATGAATATATGACTTTTAAATTTGTAAAGATTCAACACATAGAAAATTACAGTTTTCAGTTTCCACTTAAGATAAAAGACCAGCCTGAATCTTTTGAGGAACTAGGAACATACAAGACCTGACCTGATAAACAATAAAATAAACTTCCAAGGAATAGCATAGTCTTCAGTGCATGTCTACAGTTAAGAGTTTCTAAGTATGGAGCATGTTCCAGGCACTGTGAGATTTTACACAAAAAAAAATGACACAAAAATGTAGGAGACAGTCTCAGTTTACAAAGAAGCTGGAGATACACACACACACACACATACTACACACACAATATATATATATATATATATATGTAAATATATATATACACACATATACTTCAAAACATCATGTTACACATGATAAATATATATACTTGATCTGCCAATTTTTTTCAGAATTATAAAATAAGATGCTAAAAATGAGAATGCAGTAAGTAAATTGGCAGCTCTAAGGAGGAAAAATCTCTCTCCTAACTTCCCCTGAGAAACCTTTGAAAGCAAAGCCAGTCATTTTTTTTAATTTAACCATATTTCATAATCTCCCCGACTCTTTTAATAATCTTTTCATGTCTTTGTAAATTGACAGTTAAAATGAAGCATGAACTTGTAGGAAAATATCTTTTCCCACAGTTCATGGAGATTTTCCATTTCTTTATCCTTTGCGTTACACATACAGCCAGCAAGATACAGGCAAGTTGGGACTTCTGCCTCCTTATGATGGAAAAGCCAAGAAACAGAGATTAGGTGACAATCACTCCGTCCCACATAGACTCAGTAGCAGAACAACCCCTACTGCCAGCACCCTCCCACTATTGGATCATATGCTATTTTGCCACCTCTTTACTGCTACAAATGGAACACTCCAACCAAAACTGTCATGTTCAATATCAACACATCACATACCACAATGTCAGAAAATTCATTTTTTTCTTTAGCCAGATACCAGACTCTGGCTGTAGGTGGCGATAACAGGAAATCAGGTGAATGGCTGAAAACCAGTCTACCACATGCAAAGTACACGTTCCAAAAGGAGTTGTGATTTTGCAATAGTTACTGAACAGAGCCAGGCACTGGGTTAAGTTCTAACATCTAATTCCACTTAATCTTTCCAAAAGCCCTCTGTGGAAAGTCTATTATTAGTATATTTTACAGATGAGGAAGCTAAGACTCGGAATAAGCTAAGCAACTTGGACACATAGCAACTAAACCATGGCATTTGGAAAGGAACCCAGATCTTTTAAAAACCCTACACTATGCTGCCTGTGACAGCAGACAGCAGGGTCAGGGTGAATAAAAGCACAATATCTACACTATATTAAAATGCTCATTATAAAATCTCTTCCCAAAGGTGACTGTCAGCTATGTCTCAGATGTGAACAGTGAAGGGCTTCTTTCCAACAGAGCTGACCTCTTCTGGGTATTTCTGTAGGTTGTCCCTCTTCGTCTTGCCTCTTAATTCATCTCCTAATTTGGGGAAGGTAGGAAGACAGTGGAGATAGCAAAGTTAATACCTCCCATAGAAGAGAATATAAGGCTCCATGGGTTTAGCAGTTTGAGAAGTGACAGCCAATGCCAAAATGTAGTTGAAGACTCTGATCTAACCTTGCAGTGCCTTATTCAGCAAAACTGTAACCCTACCTATGCCTGTGGGAATATAGAGTGCCCTGTCAGTGTTATAAGTGACCTGCCCTTAGGGGTATAGCCTTCTGTGCCACAAAAGAAAATTATTGGAAGATACACAGTGTGGAGACTAAGAAAGGAGAACGAGGACTGTCTCTGTCCGTTTGAGCTATTATAACAAAATACCATAGACTGAAGGAGGGAGACTCACAGACAGCAAAATTTTATTTCTCACATTCCTGGAGACTGGGAATCTAAGATCCAGGCACTGGCAAATTCAGTGTCTTAGGAGGACCTGCTTCCTGTCCAAAGACAGCTGTCTTCTCACTGTGTCCTTACATGACAGAAGGGATGAGTTCACTCTCTGAGGTCCCTTTGAAAAGGGCACTAATCCCATTCATAAATACTTCACCCTTGTTACCTATTCACCTTCCCAAAGGCCCTTGGGGATTAGGCTTAAAACCTGTAAATCTGGGGGAACACAAACATTCAGCCTATAGCAGAGGCCAAGGGGAAAGAGTATCAAATTAGAAAAATTAAGGTTGTAAATTTCCAAGCAATTATTATATCTGCTATGTTGGCCACTTTGTCTTGGTGGGGGTGATGGTGGTATTAATGGTATCTGTTAATGTATAAGTAAGAAATCCCATAACTAAGAATGTCCTACTGCAATGGGTCAATCTAGGAGAAATTATTTTATTCAAGAATAGGAGCCAAACTCATAGAGTTCATGCCACTTGCTTCTGTGGCACATCCATCTTATAAATGTAGGAAAAACTGGAGTAAGTAACTAAATGCTTTTTAAATTGTGAATGTGTTTTATATAGCTTCCTTTCCTATGAATAGTTATTATTAGAACTGCAAAAAAAAAAGGTTTAGTTGGAGTATAAAAGAATTATGTACCAGAAACCTGGATACAGTTTTTAAAATCTGAAGAAAAAAAATTTTTTTAACAAAATCTTTCCATCTTGTGGAAGAAATCAGCCAGTGCTTTCTCTCTGAAATTTTGAATAATAGAAGGCCACAGACACCATCAGAGTGAATTTTGAGTATTTCTTTGTTGAGTATTCTTGATAATTAGATAATGCCTTAGGTAAAAAGCACTTAAGAGTTATTAGATATGAACACCTATCATCAGTTCACTTAGCTATATTATATTTTATATTATTAACACAAAATTTGCATTTTTATATTATATTACACAATATTTGCATTTCAAAATGAAAACAACCTATTACCATTATTTTTTATTTTTTTAGTTGTTGATAGATCTTTATTTATTTATTTTTATTTATTTATATGTGGTGCTGAGAATTGAACCCAGTGCCTCACACATGCCAGCCAAGTACGCTACTGCTGAGCCCCAGCCCCAGCCCCTATTATCATTATTTTTAAATTTTATTTCTAAATACCTACAAATATATATCAAATCCATTAGTCCTCCTCCAAAATCTAATTTTAAGCCCTTAAGGTAACTTGGTTTTTGCCATTTTCTATGGAAACATTTTAAAAGGTGACAGGCTGTTCCTCTTTATATAGTTTAGTAAATTAAATATATTGACTGTTGTATTTTATATCTTTTTGGTAAGCTCTTCCCATGTGATGTTACCTAGGTACAACAAAACACAATTGATCTTATAAAATTCATGATCATATCACATTTATTAATAATGTTTCTATTGTCGTGATCTTATACCTAAGCTAAAATGCAAAAGATCCATTTTTCACAGGGATTTTTCTGTCTGGGTATCTTCTAACTTGTGAAGCTTTGTGCCTTATCACAACAGGTCATGATGGGCTGTGTGGGAGATGACTGTACCATAATTGAGGCGGTAATCAATATGCCTCTTAAGATGCAATAGTTACCATTTCCCTTTAGAGATCCTTAATTGGGGGAGTGAACAATCAGGCCATGATTTGCACTATCGTGGCACAGGAGTCCTCTTTAAATGGAATGAAATTGTTGTGGTTCTCCCACTAAGTTCCCAGCCAGTCTCAATGGACCCATTCCCAAGTCTGACAATGAGAATCTAAATTCAGCATGTAGGAACATGTCCACGAAACGACACCTCAGGGATCCAAAATTACAATTGTTCCACCTTGCATTATTCTCAAATTGCTGATATGGCAGACACTGTTTAAGGAGTAAAAATACCTGTTAACAAACTGGAATATTAGCAAGCTATTAGGTTTTGTTGTATGATGACCTGAAATTCATGCGGAAAAATAATAGATCTTAAAATTTATTTCCATCTTTACAAAAGAAACGAGTGCAGACTTAAATATATATGTCTTCAAATTAACAGATTTTTAGCATAGAAAATTAAGTTCCAATTCAACACAAACATACAATACATACATCATAAAAATACTGACTCAGAGATCCCAGAGAAACTCCCTCTTTCTTTCTTATGGATAAAGAAGAAATTATAATTCCCTAGGTCATGAGTCCAGTATTATATCAGCTGTAATGTGTGTTTATGTGTGCATACACACATGCATGTAGATTATATTTCAATTTTATACTTTTTGTGCTTAAGACTGAAGGATCACAACTGGTATAAAATTAATAAAACATATAAAGATAATTTTCTAGTTGTCAGACACTGGAATTCTGTAGTATTCTTTTGTCCTGTATTCTATCTCTCTATTTGAATGCTAATACTGTTTAAAGCTTAACAATCAGACTAACACCTAAAATTCAAAATCTTTATTCTATTGATGTCTTTGTATCTTGAATTGTTTTTCAAATAAATGTGACATCTGCAATGAACTTTTATAATTCACTGAGAGGAAAACAACACTAATTTTTTTAGTCAAAAAAAGAATTCATCTTCTATTTTACTTTTTATAAACTCTTTAAATCCCTTTTACAGAGTTAGAAAATTTAGTTTTCATGTTGTATGGAACTAAAGTGATTTCAATATTTGATTCCAATTTTCCTTCATAATGAGGGGAGAATATTTTAGAATAATGAAGTTTCAGGCTTTCTCGAGATCCTAGGCCTTAGTTCCTCTTTCTTAGATAATTGGGTGAAGTATTCAAGATTAGAAAGCTATTAGCCGCGACTCCATTAATCTTAATGGTGAAAAGGGAAAACAAGGAGAATAAATGCTGACAGTTTCTTTATTTTTTTTTGTTTTGTTTTGTTTTCAATAGCTATCAAAGTATGGTGCAAATTGGTGGATTGGACTTCAAGAAGAAAGAGCCAACGATGAATTTCAGTATGAACCTAGATTAATTTGCACTTAATTTTGTTTGACAAGTTTTATGTACAAAATGATTAGACTAGATCTTAGCGATCAATTTGTTAAACAACCTTCAAACATTATCTTTAACTTATAAATTTTCATTTCCCTAGACAACGACATATTTTTTGAAGTCTACACCCATGAAACCATTACCCCATTCTATGCCATAAACATATTCACACCTTAAAAAGTTTTGTCCTGCCCTATTTCTTTGCTTATTTTTGTGATAAGAACAGTTAAAATAAAATCTACCCTCTTAGAAAATATTTATGTGATACAATATTGTTAACTATAAGTGCTTTGCTGTACAATAGTATTTTTCTGAGTTTAACAAAATATTATACCTTTAATCCATGCCCCAGAACTCCAGAATGGTGTTAAGAGTTAATACTGTTTAAAGCTTAATGATACTTAAAGATGTAAAATGAAAGGCCCTTAAAGTTTTTAATTTTCCTACAGTTGGAGAGATGGATCACCAATAACATACCAGAATTGGGACAAAGAAAGAGAAAGATCTGTGAATAATCAGAGCCAGAGATGTGGCTTCATTTCTTCCATAACAGGTTATTGTATTTATTCTTGATTCAGTTTATAATACAGACTTCTCTGGAGGCTTGAAATCTCCTTTTTTATTATATCAGTTCAGTGAGGAATTTGGTGACTTTTCAGTTAACTGTATTTAATGTCATAATCTTAAGGCTTAATGACATTCTTTCCATTTAATCTATGTATTTGTGTCCTTGAAATTAATGTACATCTAGATAAGTTCCTCCTCATGAGCCAAAACAGCACCAAAAATGGGTCCATTGAGACTGCTAAAAAAAAAAAAATGTGCTTGACAAATCTGTTTTCTCTATGAAATTTCAATGTAGAACCATGTTTTATCTATTTCTTGTATCCAATCTAAAGATGTTCAGAACTTGAACCTCTATGAAATTTACTTCTATTTTCCCTAGCAAACATTTTGATTCAATTCGGCATTCTTTTGCTTTTTTTTTTTTTTCTTTTCTTTAAATACCTGGCATTGACTAAGCATGCTTTGTGAGAGCAAGGGTTTACAAATTGGATTTAAAAGCACACTGATGCTGAAGTCTGGTTTATTTTCATCAGCACAGAGCTTTTGGGGTTACTTGTCCACTGTCTCCTCCCACACTTTCTAATTAAAGATCACAATATCCTGGAATCTAACAGATTCATAACTAACCTGGGACCCATGTCAGGAGAGGGAAAGCAAACCTGAGTGGGAGGGCCTCTTCAGAGAGTTAGGAAAAGAAAACAACTTGTGGTTAATCAGCTTGCTTTTGCCAGCAGGTGTCACAATAGCCTACAGAAAAGGGCTATTTTTTTGAGTCCGGGAAACAAGCAGCTCATCTGCATTGAAAATAGCATTCCAGCCCCTACTTTAAAGCCAGCATCTTTTTGGCTCATATTTCTGATACTAGACTCCTGAACTTGCCCTTACAATTTGCATGCATTCTGCCCTGTTCTGGAATTTATTACTTGAATGCTAATGAAATGCACTCTATAACACTTATTCTGAAAACAACTCTCCTACGTTTAAAATCAGTTTTCAGGAAGCTAAGGACTTGAGGTTGTATCTTGCAGTGGACATGTTTATATGAGTCTGGTTTTGTGAAGGGTCAATACTAGAGAACTACTAATTTCTTAGAAGTTCCTAAATTAATTTTTCTAAATTATTATACAGGTTGAGCACCCTTACATGTAATGCTTGGGACCAGAAGTATTTAAGATTTCAGGGTTTTATGGATTTGGGTTATTTGAATAGGTTATGCCAGGTGAACATCCCTAAATCAAAAATCTGAAATCTGAAATCCTTCAAAATCTGAAACTTATTGAGCATTATTTTGGATTTCAGATTTTTGGATTGAGGATGTTCAACCTGAATTTTCTAAAAATAATAATAATAAAGTGGAAATGATCATCTGTTGTTTTGGAATCTTTTTTTCTCTTCATTGAAGCTGTATATCTGAAAACAAAAATATTACTCTATTAGTATTATTCTACCCAAGTCAAATATTCTTAGAACTTTAATCAGTTCTGGGATTTTAAGTTGAGTTACTTTCGTTTATTTATTTATTTATTTTGCATGCAAAAATTTTTACATTCTTAAGAATTACTGATTTAGCACCTTTCCCAGTTAGCTGGTGTCATTACAGTCAGTAATTAAATTTAATTCCATTTCTAGATTTAAAATAATAAATTTTGGAAAACCATAGTAGTTGCATAGCATGGAGGATACCTACAAAGAGTCACCACTGTTTCTGAGCCATTTCTAACCCACTCTCTCCTCCAGGACTCTGGGGCAGTGCAGACTGTTCAGTCTCTATGCCTAGCATTTGTAAGCGAACCAAGTTTTGGATCATTGAGAAGAAGAAAGAGACACCAAAAGAACATGGAACGTGTCCCAAAGGATGGCTATATTTTAACTCTAAGGTAAAATTGTTTTCAATGAGCTGCCGCTGTTGTAGCTTTTCACTTCGGAAAGTATTCAAAAAGTTGGGGTGACTTTAAAAAGCCATGAGTTATCCATCAGATCTGAACTGCTTTTGTCCAACTTTCAAGAGATTGGAGAAGTTTTCTCAACCGCGCGACCAGCACACTGGTTTCATACAAGAGGTTCGTAGCATAGAAGTTAACTAGTGAGATCAAAATAAACACACAAGACTCAATTACCTTTTTCTTTGACCAGGTCTGAGACGGCCCTCCCTCTGGCTCCCACCTCGAACCACCTGGTGGGGCAGCAAGGCATACTCAGGACTAGCAGGAGAGAGAGAGAGGGCACGCCAGGGAGGGGCCTTTTATTGGGGAACAAGAAATTCAGGGGAAAATTCCATCCAATGAAGGTCGAGGGGGACAGCATTCCAAGGTCAGGGTCAGTGATTGGTCTCAGGGTCAATGGTCAGTCACACCCCCACACGGACAGGCTCTCGCACCTGGAGAGGGTGGGGATTAGCTCTGACACAGTTTGGCCAGAACGCCTCACACCCAATCAGGGAGGTGCCCAATCACATGTGAGAATGGCTTCCCACAGTTTTCCACTTAGGAACAGATCTTTTGCAACTAAAAAGGCTTTGATAAAAACAATCTTGACACCACTCCTCATTGCATGCTCAGTTTGGTCCTTATTTTTGACAGCCCTTCACTGTATTGAATGTTTCATCACCTGCAATGCACGTATGTGTATGTGTGGTATGTGTATTGTGTGTGCAAGTGTGTATGTGTATATATGCAGTATGTATGTGTGCACACGTATATGTGCACATGTGCCTGCTTGCCTATGTGTCTAGGCTCTGCTCCAAATGAGCTGTGAACTCCAGAGGACCCAGACTCTGTCTTCTCCTTTTGTGTCTTCCCTGCCTGGAATCAGCAAAGAGCTCTATATACCTGCGAATTGATGAACTAATAACTTAGTTTGGTCAATGTCATCTTGAGCCTCATAAAGCTGATACTTCCATGCAGAATTGAATTTAAGAAAAAAAAAATCGCCAGTGGGGATATTGTAAACCAGATTTATTATTTCTGATACTGCCTTCAATTAAGGCCTAGACTTTCCTTCCACTCCTTATGTTTTGTAATAAAATAACTTTATAGGCCTTAGGTGGAAGTAATTAAAATGCATCCCAAATTATAATTGTTTAACTCCTAGAGAATTAAAAAACCCAAACTGTGTCATAATTTCATATGCTAATATGAAATTGGTCTTCAATTGTGGACAGCCAATTTTCAATCTGAGTGTTCCGTTATGTTGGCAGGGCATTTTCTCCTTCTTTGTGATTTTCCTCTCATTGTTAATTCATGAAATGAAGTCACTTGGATTTTCTACACAATTATTGAGCACCCTCTATATATTTGACACTGACTTAATTTTAATTTTTTTTATTCTGTGGTAAAATACATATAACGCCGAATTTACCATTTTAAACACTTTTAAGTAAACAGTTCACTGGTGTTAAGTATGTTCACATTGTTGTGCAAGGAATCTCCAAATTCTTTTGATCCTGCAGAACTGAAACTCTACACCCGTTAAACAATAACTTCCTATTCTTTTCCCCCATACCACCCTGTCCCCAGACAACCACCATTCTGCTCTATAATCTATAGATTTGACCATTTTAGATACCTCACATAAGTGGAAGCATACAATATTTTTTTTAACTTGCATATTTCACTTAGCATAATGTCTTCAAGTTTTGTTCATGCCGTAACATGTGACACAATTTCCTTACTTTTTAAGTCTGAATAATATTCCATTGTATGTATATACCACATTTTGTTTATCCATTCATCATCCATTGGTAGACATCTAGGTTGCTTCCAACTGACTTTGTTGGATGATTTCATATGCATTCCTCCTATTGAACTTTTAAAAGATACAGAATTACTATTAACAATTCGCATATTGAATAATTGTATTACCTTTCTGAACATTCACAGTAAACAGGCATTAGACTGAAAATCAACCTCACATTTTCTGTCCTGAATCTGGTAGTCCTACTCTTTCCTACACTGTCTACTTCATATTAGAACTTAAGGACTGCATTGCAAATGATGATGGAACACACTGCCTTTCTGTTAGAATGGCCAAAACCTAGTACATGGACACCACCAAACACTGATGAGGAGGTGAAGCAACCAGAACTCTCATTCATTCCTGTTGGAAATGCAAAAGGGTACAGCCCCGGTGGAAAATAGTAGGAATGTTCTTTCAAAGCTAATTATACTTTTATAATTCCATACATTCCATACATTCCATAATCACACTCCTTGACAATTATCTAAGGGAGTTGAAAACAACATCTGTGTGAAGTCTTGCATGTAGATAAAGCAGTTTTATTCATAATTACTAAATTTAGCAACCAAGATGTCCTGCAGTAACTGAAAGGACAAATAAGAACTCTGGGATTTTTAGGAAGATGGCGGCGAGGGGAGTGCATTGCCCCCGTGTGCTGCTTCACTGTGTGGGAGTATGACAAGTCAGGACGGCTAAAGGCTATCTTGTTAGGAATTTCCAGCAATAGTGGGGTGCTCCGGAACCTGGAGGAAGGATTTCCATCGCACGAGGATCGGCTACGGGGACTCAAACACAAGAGGTTTGTCGCACGGAGGGTAACACTGCTTATTCAGCAAATCGCCCCGCGGCTAGAGTCTGCAGCGCACGCTGGGAAACGAGGAGATAGCGACGCAGGGATACAGCGCTGCAGTTTCTGCCAGCCGTGCAAGCACCGTACTCAGGGCTGAATTCTGGGTTCGAGATGGGGGAAGGAAGCGGTCCATCTCGGTTCTCCACACCGGTCAGACCACAGAGGAGGCCAGCAGCCACCATGTTGGAAAGCTGACGTCACCATACCTGTTTTCGACTGACCACAGCTCATTCAGCCATAGAACAGGTAATTTCATGCTGCCATTCGCCTGCGGCTTGCAGACAGATTGCTAGGGTTCAGTGCCTGGGTGCTTCTTAGAACCTGATCTTATCGGAGCGAACACCGAGCGCGGGGCGGCTGAGTTCGGCTCCCGGAACCGCCCTGGCCCAGGGCTGCGGAGCCTGCGGAGGCTGCTTCTTGGACCCTGCTCCTATCAGAGCATACACCAAGCACTAAGCGGCCGAATTCCGGCTCCCGGAACTGAGCCCGCGGGGACTGCTTCTTGGAGCCTACTCTTATAGGAGCTTACACCGAGCACGGAGCGGCCGAGTTCCGGCTCCCGGAACATCCCTGGCCCGGGGCTAGGAGCCCGCGGAAACTGCTTCTCGGTCCGGGTCCTGCTGAGGGCCGGTCAGGACTCACCCGTTGCTTTGGTTGCCCGGCAAGGGGAACGAAATGCTGCCATTCACATAGGATACCAACATGGCAGAGATCTGATGTCATCAGAAAGCGGCGGAGGAGAGAACTTCATCAATACCAGCGGCGACATAAACAGTTGGTCTCCTGGTAGGGGGGGTGAGGCACAGACACCCGAGTCTCCTCAATTTGTCGTCGAGCCAGAGGGGAGGAGCCGGGCCACCGCCAGCGCCCGGAGCAGGCCCAGCGGCTCGCCAGCGTGGTGACCACGTGACCCCAATTGGAGAGGGGGCGGAGCAGAGCCGCCACCCGCACCCGCAAGGTGGGCAGACCCACGACCCAGTGGTACATGGGAGTGGTAGGAGGGGCAGGGCAGAGCCGCCCTTCACGCTTGCAAGGTAAACAGACCTGTGACAGCCTGGCGTGTCAGGCCCAGTGGCCTGCCAGTGTGGTACACACGTCACCCCAACTGGAGTAGGGGCAGAGCAGATCCTTCTCCCACGCCCGGATCAGGCCCTGCCGGTGTGGTGGCCACGTGACCCCAATTGGAGTGGGGGCAGAGCGGAACCGCCACCCGTGCCCACAGGGTGAGCAGACCTGTGACCAACCTGCAGATCAGGCCCAGGGGTCCGCAGGCGTGGTAGGAGGGGCAGGGCAGATCCGCCGCCCGCGCCTCCAAGGTAGGCAGACCTGCAACAGACCGGCGGATCAGGCCCAGGAGCCTGCTGGCGTGGTACACACACCACCCTAATTGGAGTAGGGGCAGAGCAGAGTCGCCGCCCGAGCCAGGAACAGGCCCAGCGTCCTGCAGGCGGGGTAGTCACGACACCCCAATTGGAGTAGGGGCAGAGCAGAGCCTCTACCCGTGCCCGAGAGGTGGGCAGATCTGCGACCGACCAGCGGGACAGGCCCAGTGGCCTGCCAGTACGACAGACACGTCACCCCATTTGGAGTAGGGGCAGAGTAGAGCCGCCGCCCGCGCCTGCAGGTTAGGCAAACCTGCAACCGACCAGCGGATCAGGCCCGGTGGCCTGCCGGCGTGGTACACTCGTCACCCCAATTGGAGTAGGGGCAGAACAGAGCCGCCGCCAGCGCCCAGAACAGGCCCAGTGACCTGCCGGTGTGGTAGCCACGACACCCCAATTGGAATAAGGAGAGAGCAGAGCCGCCGCCCGCGCCTGCAGGAAAGATACGCAAGCAGTATGAAAAGACAAGGAAAGAAAGGACCACAAGCAATGCAGGTCAACGCAACTTTAGAAGAGGTAACAGATGCAGCAGATGGAATGTCAGATAAAGAATTCAGGATATACATGCTTCAGATGATCTGGAGTATCAAGGAAGACGTTAAACAGCAAAATCAGACAATGAAAGATCACTTCGACAATGAATTTCACAAACAAATCCAGGAAGCAAAGGATCAACTATACAGGGAGATAGAGGTTATAAAAAACAAACAAACAGAAATCCTAGAAATGCAGGAAGCAATAAGCCAACTTAAAAACTCAATGGAGAATACAACCAGCAGAGTAGAACACTTAGAAGATAGAACATCAGACAATGAAGACAAAGTATTTCAACTGGAAAAGAACATAGACAGCTCAGCAAGACTGTTAAGAAACCATGAGCAGAACATCCCAGAAATATGGGATAACATTA